GACGAGGATGTAAGACACAGGTTTAAGTGCGGTTGGTTGAAGTGGAGAGAAGCGTCGGTGTGCTATGTAATAAAATAATTTTAATTAGGCAGAAAGGTAAGTTCTTTAAGACTATAGTGAGACCAGTTATGAGGTGTGGATTAGAGTGTTGGGCGGTTGACAAGAAAGTAGAGCAGAAAATAAGTGTAGCAGAGATGAGATTACTCATATGGATGAGTAGAGTGACTTGAGAAGATATGATAAGGAACGAACATATAAAAGAGATTATAGGCGTAGCGTCAATCGTGGATAAGTGAACAGAAAATAGACTTAAATGGATTTGTCATGTTATGAAGAGAGAGAAATCGGAAATTGTAAGAACAGTTATAGAAATGAATGTTGAAGGATGAAGAGGTAGAGGAAGACCAAAACAGCGATGTAGGGATATAATTGAATGCGATGTGAGAACGGCTAATGTGAGCGTAGATGATATGGGAGATCGTGTTAGGTGTAAATTTAGGATAAGGGTGGCCGACCAAAAGTAATTGGGATTAAGGCGAGGAAAAAAAGAAGAATGTTGCATATTTTGAAATTTTAGTGATATTTTTATTAATTAGTGTTTTTAACGTTATTTCAGTACTGTAAGAGAGAAAAATGATACTATTTTAAAACATAGATTAGAGGTGATGAGTGTGTATGAAAATATTTATCATTAGTAGTCATTAAATTCTCAGGAAAACATCTAATAGTTTATAGATATTTTTTGTGATCTGCCAATGAAAATCTTTGATATTTTGATTGTATTTGGATACTTAAGGAACTATAGAAATGTACAAAATTTAAAAAGCCATACAGATGATCAAATTCTTAAAGAAATCATAGAAATATATAAAATATATGAAACCATTAAAATACTTGATAAAATGACGTATATTTTTATAAAATCATAAAAATTACCAACATATTAACTTTCAGCCGGTAAATTGGCTTGACGTTTAATTAATTTGTATGTTCTATATTAAATTCGGGAGGTACTATTTCGGCAAATATTTACTCCGTGTGGCAGAAAAACATTTTTGTTTTTATAAAATTTTAATGAATTTTGTTGAGCTGTTAAAAATAAATTTACCTCGAGTGCTTTGAAACCAAAAATTATAGTAAATATTAATAGCGATAATAACAATCATATAATATGGTTTTTTACGTATCTCGTATATTATTAAATTTTTTATAATACGTAGTATATTATTGACAAATGTTAGCTGAATAAAAGAATTAAAACATATGATATAAAATATTAAACTTTCTAGTCTTCTTTTGAATGTACTTTTATTTAAAAATATAAAATATCAACAAAATTGTGAGTTTAACAAATAGATTTAATTTACAAAAAATTAATACCCCAGACAACCGGCTGAGTATTAATTTATTCATTATTTTATATTGCCTAATTTCAAGATATTTTTGACATAAATAAAATTGAGGTTTTTTTTTAGTTTTTGAAGGGACGTCAAAGACGTCACTGGGGAGGGGGCAATTCGGGCATTCAATCTAAATTTTTAGTACATATTGGGTCCAGTTGACCTACACATTCACTATGTTGGGTCCACCGGGTCATTTAAAATTAAAACTTAATTAAAAATATTATTAATTTAAAACTAAACAATATTAAAAATATTTAACTCAAAAAAGCCACAGAAAAAAATCGCAGATACGTATTTCGGGAAGAATGTTACCATGTCAACGCTAAACACATATTAACACCCCGAACGGAAAAAAACCCTTTATACCTCTAGTGACCTTATCAACTAGTGTTAATATCACTATGTAATATTTTCATGTTTTATCAGTTTACACAGGTTTAATAATGAATTTATTGGTGTGTCAAGATTCAAATTAATGAATTGTTTTTATTTTTAAACATTTCAATTGCTTCCTTTATATTAAGTTCTTTGTAATTATTTATGTTTNATTGGTGTGTCAAGATTCAAATTAATGAATTGTTTTTATTTTTAAACATTTCAATTGCTTCCTTTATATTAAGTTCTTTGTAATTATTTATGTTTTTAATTAGTTTTATGGTTTTAATGGAGTGATTATGTATTATGTTTTTTGTATTATATATATTGAGTGATTATGAGTATTTATTGACATCAATGTTCAACCACCAGAGATTTATCAACTTCTTGATTTGTTGGTTTCTTAAGCGTTCTTTAAATCTGATCTCTATATTTATTTTTGTTTGACCTACTTAACATTTATTACAACTTTCATATTGAATTTTATAAATGACCGATTTCTCACCATCTATTCCTTTATCCTTAGGGTCACATAATAAATGTCTTAAATTATTATATCTAAGAAATTACCAAAGTAATCAAAAAATTCTAGCTAGTCCATTTAAGATACTCTGATAATATAAAATGAATGATCTAAATACTTTTTATTCACTCATGCTAGTGAATGTACTAGCTGTCTTCTTTTTT